CCAACACAGGGGCGTGGGTTCGACCCCTCGTCAGGGGACTAGATCCTATACGCCGCAACAAAAGATCCTGCATGCTTCAGCTAAGCCCTGGCGCAGCCAAATGAATAAATAAATAAGAACAAATATTAAAAAAGAATTATCCAATCCCAAATGCCAACAGCACTGAGGCTGGCAAGCCCTGCTCTAAAGAGATTTCAACCAGGAGTTCTAGGACCCACAGCAGGCCCGTGGGCGCCTTCCAGAAATCTAAGCAGCTCCCAGAAATCATAAGCAAAGCTTAAGACCTGTGTATATGTGTGAATTTTTCCCACGTGATCATCACTGTCCAAAAGCCTCAGTTTGGAGGCCAGGCAGGGTGCTGAATGGTTTGACTGCTTTGTGCGTGGTTCCCAGCACAGGGCAGACACACAGTAAATGGTTGGTATGTGCTGTTTGGATGAACAGCAGGGGGTCCTTAACGAGACCCAGAAATAGTTTTCCTCTCCTCCACCCAAGTTCTGAACACACTGGAAAATAAGACAAAGGAGTAGGAGATGGAGGCCAACACGTCACCTCTGGTCCCAATAAAGGCTAATTTGGAGAGCAGAGCACAGCTTTCTGTGAGAGCCAAACAGGTCTGCTCAATGAACCCCGGAATGAAGCAGACCGACCCACCTTGTCGCAGACGACTCAGTGAGGACAAGACACACCCCCAAGCCCCGTCGCGGGAACAAAGCCCGCATCTCAACTAGCATTGTCCAACGGAAACACAACACAAGCCTAAATGTTTAGTAGCCATGATAAAAAACAAACAAAAAAAACTCATTTAAAAACTTTCTGTTTAACCCAATAGCTCCAAAATGCGATCACTTTAATACATAAGCAACAACAAAAAAATATTCATGAGATGTTTTACATTCTGTTTTCATACCAAGTGTTCAAATTCCAGAGTGCGTTTTACACTAACAGCACATCTCAGTTTGTGCTAGCAACATGTCAAATGCTAATAACCTCATGTGGTGAAGGCTGCCGTGTTGGACAGTAAAAGTCTCAGAGGATTAAGGAATTATGCCTGCTCCCAAGACTCAAGCAGGAAAAAGAGGGGAAGGAAGAGACTACCTGAGCCACATTCACCCATCAGATAAACAACTCCACCTGTCCTGGGGCAGACTGGGGAAAGGCCAACGCACGCATGCTATTTCACTTTAGCCGTGTCCAACTGTTTGCAACCCCATGGACTATAGCCCGCCAGGCTCCTCTGTCCATGGGATTCTCCAGACAAGAATACTGGAGTAGGTTGCCGTGCCGTCCTCCAGTGGATCGTCCCAACCCAAAAAGTGAAAGTAAAATTTGCTCAGTTGTGTTCAAGTCTCTGTGACCCCATGGACTATATAGCCTGCCAGGCTCCTCTGTCCATGGAATTCTCCAGGCCAGAATACTGAAGTGGGTTGCCATTCCCTTCTCCAGGGAATCTTCCCAACCCAGGGATCAAACTCAGGTCTCCTGCATTGCAGGCAGATCCTTCACCTTCTGAGCCACCAACCCAAAATGTACATTAATTAAGCTACTTTTTCATAAAAGGAAATATTGGAATTGGAGGTGCACACCTCTTGAATGGATACATGGCTGGATGATGAACAGATGAACAGATGGACTGATGGATGATTAAGAAACAGATGAGGTGAAACCCAGGTAAGACGTAACACACCAGAGCAAGTAGTCAGCTTCTATTTTTAAAAGTGACAAACGTCAAATACTGTATGATATCACTGACATGTAGACTCTAAAATATGACACAAATGAACTTATCAGTGAGACAGAAACAGACCCACAGACACTGAAAACAGACGTGGCTGCCAAGAGGGAATGTGGTAGGGACGGGATGGATGGGAGCTTGGGGTCAGCAGATGTGAACCACTGCAGACAGAAAGGGTGAGCAACAGGGCCTCCCCTTCAGCACAGGGAGCTATCTTCAATGTCCCGTGTCAAAGCAAAATGGAATTATGTATATGTATACATTATACATAAACACGCACACGTAGTATATATAACTGAATCACTTCACTGTGCAGTAGAAGCTAACGCAACATGAACTACGCTCCAATAAGATAAAACTTTAAAGAAAGAAAAGCCGCAGATACCAAACCCCTACGGAAGAGCACACTCTGCTTTTGGTGGCACCATGTCTTTGATTTTAAAAAGACCAGAGTCTAGCCCACTGTCACTTCATCAAACTTCTGCAGGAGGAGGAAATGATCATGTCCATGTAACAGATCTAAGTAGTATCAGCCATATATAAATAACAGGCAAATATCTACTATATGGCAGACAACTGGATCCTTCACTAAGAGTATGAGCTATATGTACAGAAAGGTTTTTATTTAGCTATTGACTGCTCTATTTCTAGTACCTGGCACATTGTAGGTACTCAATAAATATTTGTTGAATTAATAAATTGTCTAATTTACTCAAGGAGCTCAGAGAGGTTAAGTAACTTGCCCAAAGTCACACTGCTACCAAATGGTAAAACCTGAACTATAACCCAGGCTTTACGGAGGTCAAAGTCCATCCCACCATTTGCCTCTTAACCAAATGATGCAGGAAACTCACACTTTCCTGTCTATTCTTCAGGAACATGGCACCGGGTCAGCCCTGTGGATTACTCATGCCGGAGAGTAACAGAGCAGAAGTTCAAAGCCAAGGTGCTTTTCTCCATTTCTCCAGCTCAGACTTCTGCACAATGCTCTCATCTTCGGGGGAAAAACAAATTTATTTGAACTAAAATAAGCAGAGCTCATGAGAGCTGATTGTCAAATTTTCAGGAATTTTTTGAGCCAGTTGTTTTAGCATAGTCATTATTTTAAAATTAAACTCTACAAACTTACCATGAAATAAACTGCATGAAAAGCAAAGATAACACATTCTCCAAATTAAGCACATCATAATTATTTACTGTATTTTACTATCTCTGCTCTGAAGGTTTCTATGCCCATTGTATCTGTGTGATGAAACTGCTTTCTGATGACATCTCACTGCTCATCTCTTACAACTCCACCTTCGAATATTTCACCTCTTTGTGAAGCTGGTAGCTTGCAGTCAGGCATAGTGGGAGTGTTTACACCGCAGAAACTGGCAACCGCTACAAACCTGTTCCTGCTTTTATTAGTATCCCGGAGAGACTGTTTTCACAGTTACCAGCATATTACAGCCTTGGATGTGGTCACAAACCAAAGGATGGCTTTATGATTCTCCACTATATGCCAGGATGACTAAGAGAAAGCCATCTTCACTCCAAAAGGGCATTTCACTACAGGAAACAGCACCAGCTTTGGAATCTTTGAGCTCCCCTGCGAGAGGTAGAAAATTCAGTGCACTTTCCTTTTGGGGTCCAGCCGCCTTGCTCATCTTGACAGAGGGGCCTCTGTGACCACAGGGTCCAGGTACAGGGCTTTCGCACAGATATCCACCTCCCTTGGGAAATATCAAAGCCCGGCTCCCTGTAGTCATCGCTCCCATGTCAGAGCAGGTCCTTCTGTCTCTAAAGAGCAATTGGCATGATGGCCACGGCTTCACCCTGGGCCCCTGCTGAGATGAAGTTCAGTTAGCCATAGCCTTCCATCCACACTGCACACTCTCCACCTCTGCTTTCAGGGCCTCTGGTGGGTGTATCAAAAATTCGAGTGGAGACGATGCAAAGCAGAGAACAAAAGTAAAAGTCAGACTTGGGAAACAAGCCTAGCCCCGCCAACCACCTCATCTGCATTTTATACCCTGAGAGGCCAGGAGCATCTTGCATTCGTTTTGCATTTCTTCCTCAGTGGAGCTGAGCGTCTATGGAGAATCTTGGGGTGCCAGATACACGCACGCGTGCTCTGTCGCTTCAGTGGTTTCCGACTCTTTGCGACTCCATAGACCATAGCGCACCATAGCCCAGGCTCCTCTGTCCGTGGGATTTCTGCAGCAAGTATACTGGAGTGGGTTGCCATTTCCTTCTCCAGGAGATCTTCCCGACCCAGGGATCGAACCTGCGTCTCCTGTGTCTCCTGCATTGCAGGTGGATTCTTTTCCTGCTGAGCCACCGACGAAGCCCAGGTATGTGCTGGGCGCCTTAAAGGTAATCTTATTTAACTACTTTACACAGGAGGTATCATCAACTGCCTTAATTTACCAGGCAATGGAGGCTTGGGGCAGTTGAGTATCCTTCCCAAGGTCAAGCAGTCAGTGAAAAGCTAAAGCCCAAATTACAGCACTCTCTTTGGCTGCAGATGCATGTATGCTGCACTTGCCTGAAATAGTTACCCTAGAATAAACCTTGGAGAGTGAGTATGATTTCAGCAATCAGAGTTGAGGAGAAGGCTGCCAGTGGCATGATGTAGACTAGCATGAACTGAAAGAGGCAGGAAATAATGGGGATCAGCAGAGAACTGAGGAGCTAGAGGTTCACACAGGAGGTGAATGGATTCACGGGGATGGGAAAACGTGTGGATACAGAGACGTGGTGAGAAAGGATGAATGGGCATGAGGACGGACGAGTGGCCAGGTGGACAGCTGTAACGATGAAGGTGAAGTATGGGAAGGCGGAGGGATGGAAGGGCAGGCTGCAAACAGCAGATGGTGGGTGGAAGGATGGAAGGAAGGACAGCGAATGGTGGAGAGATACGGGAAGGAATGAAGGAACGGACGGGGAAAAAAACAGGGAAGGGAGGGACGAGATGAGAGATGGGTGATGGAAGAACGGGTAGGCAGGGGGAAGGGTGGTGAGTGAAAGGCAGGCGGTGGATGGACAGGCAGACGTGTGGACAGGCAGAACGGATGCTAGATGGGTATTAACAAGAGCACATGGAAGGGCTAAGAGTGGACCTGAGCCAGTGGAATATTGAAAGTGTGGGCAGGTGGACGATAGAAAAGGGAGCACAGACAGGGGGATGAATAAGCCCACGAGTGACTGGGTGGGGAGGAGCATGGAAGAGCTTTCCAGGCCTTTGGGTTGAGAGACGCTAAGTGACAGGACGGATGAGCAGATGCGTGAGCAAGCGGAGAGCATCGTGATGGAGACAGAGAAGGAAGGGAGAGCAGACATGAAGGCCAGAAGGGCAGGCTCGCCCAGCTGCGGGCACCGGGAAAGGTCCGTTTTCAGAGGCACCTTTTAAGGTCCCAGTGAAAGAAAGTCACACCCAGATGGGGACCAGGCACCAACCGGAGACGGGCTGACACAAGAAATGGACAACCAAGCTGTCTCGGAGGCTCAGCCCCGGGCAGTCCCGCCTGAGACCCTGGTTGAGAGCAGGTTCTGCCCCCTGCCCCTACGCGCTCCCCGATTCCCCGCCTCCCCGCGCCTGCCTCCAGCCCTGCACACACAGCCTTTTCTTGGCAAGTTTCCTTGGAGTCGAGTGGTGGGGCCAGCCCGTTTGACCTTCTCTGTTCTTGGACATAATTACTGTTATCCCAGATAATCGCTTTGAAATAACGCTGTCATTACACACCTTCATGCTCCTTGGCCCATTTGTCTGAGAGCAGCCCTGTCCCAGAGGGCAGGGATTGCAACGGAAGAGCCTCGGGGGTGTTTTTTCTCTCTCCTCCCAGGCACCACGCTTGCCTTAACCCTCCCGTCTCTGCTCTGGTCAACACGGAGCTCCGAAAACCAGGCAGACGGTCCCTCCAGGCAGGAACCAGACTCCTCTGGAGGCACTAGAAGCCGGGGGCTCAGGCGTGGGGTCGGGGACCACGCCCGGCCGGAGCAACGCTCCGAGGGGTGGAGAGCAGGTGGAGGCGGGAGAGGACCTCCAGAGCCCAAACCGAGAGCTGTGCCGGCAAAGGGGAGAGCCTGAAGTAGGGCCACGAGGAGACCCAGGTGGCACGTTCAAGGCGAGGACGGACCCTGAGCGGGCTCAGTCCCTGGAAGGAGGGTGAGTGTCACGAGCGCCCCCGTCCCCCCTTGTGGGGTGCAGGGCGGGGAACGTGCGGAGCGCTCCAAGGCACGGGGCCACAGTCGGGAGACCCGAACGGCTATGCCGGACACTTCCCTGTGCCCGAAGCACCACGCCTTTAAGCCGGAAGAGCCCTGACACAGAGACGTATGCCAAGTCTGCGGAAGGGCTGAAGGTACGGACAGGGCCCACCCGAGGAGAGGACCCCAGCGTCCCAATTCCATTTCCATGGTCTCCCACCCAGCGGCAATGCTCCCAGGAAGGCTTGACCCCCGCCTGTCCACGAGCTCTCTCTCTGGGACCAGCCTGCTTGGAACACTGTCTTTGGGATTTTCCAGGCTTACACCTGAATCCTGGCCCAATCCCCAGGTAGCTGTGTGACTGAGGAAAGTGACTGAACCTCTCTGAACCTGTTTCCTTGTCTGCAAAGTGGTAACAATCGCACTCACTCACAGGGTGGGTGATAATGCACATAATTGGCACAGCATCCAAGGCAGAGGAATTTCTCAATGAATGAAAATGCGAGGGACAGGACACGCGGTGACCCTCCCACATCCCCGCCCTGCTCACCCAAAGCCTAGTCTCCTGCCAGGCTGGATCCTGGGTCTCCCTTCCCGCTGGCTTCCACCTGGTTCAGACTGTCACAGTAACAGCGCTCTTCAGCTCCGCCTGGGGACCCCAGCCGCACATGGCGGGGCCTGAGTTTCCATCAGATCATCGAAAAAGCAAGAAAGTTCCAGAAAAACATCTATTTCTGCCTTATTGACTATGCCAAAGCCTTTGACTGTGTGGATCACAACAAACTGTGGAAAACTCCTAAAGAGATGGGAATACCAGACCACCTGACCTGCCTCGTGAGAAGTGAAGGCGGGAGAAGGGGACGACAGAGGATGAGATGGTTGGATGGCATCACCGACGCAGCGGACATGAGTTTGAGCAGGCTCTGGGAGATGGCGATGGACGGGGAAGCCTGGCGTGCTGCAGTCCATGGGGTCACAGAGAGTCGGACAGGACTGAGCGACTGGACTGAACTGGACTGGAGTTTAAACGGGCAGAAAGGACCCGGATCATGAGTCTTTCGGGTCAGGCAGCCTGGGGGTCGTCGCCAGAGACCCGCTGGGGAGGCGCGCCAGGCAGTGTGCAGCCCTTCGGCCGGCTGACCGTCTGCAAAGAGGGGCTCCCAGCAGCTGGCTTGGCTCCCAGTCCACCTTCCAAGCCTCTCCCGCCCTCTGCAGTTCCTGTCTGTGGCCGCATCACCCGTCTGGACTGGTTCCTAACCCCCCGGCTTCTGGCAGCCTGGCCCGACTCCAGTTTCCGATTCGTCTGCGTGAACCGTGACCAGGTCAGGTGGGCAGAGACGACCGAGGTGGCAATGCAGGCAGTGTTCCCGATGTGGGGCACGGGCTCCCAGACCTAGTGGCTCCCCCACTGTAAGCTGGACCCTCCGTGGGCACCTTCCGTCTCCTTTAATTCCCTTCATTACAACCTTCCATTTAAACGTGTCCTCTGACTTGGAAGAAATCATCGCCCCTGAACAGCTTGGCTCAGCCGCCCAGGAGACACACGAGGAAAAGCAGCAAGGCCCGAAAAGGCAGAGATCCTCCAGGATCTCAGAAAGAACTTAGAAAGAAGCCCGTCATCACAGTCTAGCCTCGGGGTTCTCCTCCTGCAGGAAGCCCTCCCTGATTTCAGTTCAGCTCAGTCGCTCAGTCGTGTCCGACTCTCTGCGACCCCATGAACCGCAGCACGCCAGGCCTCCCTGTCCATCACCAACTCCCGGAGTTTACTCAAACCCATGTCCATCGAGTCTGTGATGCCATCCAAGCATCTCCTCCTCTGTCATCCCCTTCTCCTCCACCCTTCAATCTTTCCCAGCATCAGGGTCTTTTCCAATGAGTCAGCTCTTCGCATGAGGTGGCCAAAGTATTGGAGTTTCAGCTTCAACATCAGTCCTTCCAATGAACACCCAGGACTGATCTCCTTTAGGATGAACTGGTTGGATCTCCTTGCAGTCCAAGGGACTCTCAAGAGTCTTCTGCAACACCACAGTTCAAAAGCATCAATTCTTTGGCACTCAGCTTTCTTTATAGTCCAACTCTCACATCCATACATGACTGCTGGAAAAACCATAGCCTTGACTAGATGGACCTTTGTTGGCAAAGTAATATCTCTGCTTTATAATATGCTGTCTAGGTTGGTCATAACTTTCCTTCCAAGGAGTAACTGTCTTTTAATTTCTTGGTTCCAGTCACCATCTGCAGTGATTTTGGAGCCCAGAAAAATAAAGTCAGCCACTGTTTCCACTGTTTCCCCATCTATTTGTCATGAAGTGATGGGACCGGATGCCACGATCTTAGTTTTCTGAATGTTGAGCTTTAAGCCAGCTTTTTCATTCTCCTCTTTCACTTTCATCAAGAGGCTCTTTAGTTCTTCACTTTCTGCCATAAAGGTGGTGTCATCTGCATATCTGAGGTTATTGATATTTCTCCCAGCAATCTTGATTCCAGCTTTTGCTTCCTCCAGCTGAGTGTTTCTCATGATGTACTCTGCATATAAGTTAAATAAGTAGGGTGACAATATACAGCCTTAACATACTCCTTTTCCTATTTGGAATCAGTCTGTTGTTCCATGTCCAGTTCTAACTGTTGCTTCCTGACCTGCATATAGGTTTCTCAAGAGGCAGGTCAGGTGGTCTGGTAAGCCCATCTCTTTCAGAATTTTCCACAGTTTATTGTGATCCACACAGTCAAAGGCTTTGGCATAGTCAATAAAGCAGAAATAGATGTCTTTTCTAGAACTCTCTTGCTTTTTTGATGATTCAGTGGATGTTGGCAGTTTGATCTCTGGTTCCTCTGCCTTTTCTAAAACCAGCTTGAACATCTTGTAGTTCACAGTTCACATATTGCTGAAGCCTGGCTTGGAGAATTTTGAGCATTACTTTGCTAGTGTGTGAGATGAGTTCAACTGAGCATTCTTTGGCATTGCCTTTCTTTGGGATTGGAATGAAAACTGACCTTTTCCAGTCCTGTGGCCACTGCTGAGTTTTCCAAATTTGCTGGCGTATTGAGTGCAGTACTTTCACAGCGTCATCTTTCAGGATTTGAAATAGCTCAACTGGAATTCCATCACCTCCACTAGCTTTGTTTGTAGTGATGCTTCCTAAGGCCCACTTGAATTTACATTCCAGGATGTCTGGCTCTAGGTGAGTGATCACACCATCGTGATTATCTGGGTCGTGAAGATCTTTTTTGTACAGTTCTTCTGTGTATTCTTGCCCCCTCTTCTTAATATCTTCTGCTTCTGTTAGGTCCCTACCATTTCTGTCCTTTATTGAACCCATCTTTGCATGAAATGTTCCCTTGCTATCTCTAATTTTCTTGAAGAGATCTCTAGTCTTTCCCATTCTGCTGTTTCCCTCTATTTCTTTGCATTGATCACTGAGGAAGGCTTTCTTGTCTCTCCTGGCTATTCTTTGGAACTCTGCATTCAGATGGGAATATCTTTCCTTTTCCCCTTTGCTTTTCGCTTCTCTTCTTCTCACAGCTATTTGTAAGGCCTCCTCAGACAGCCATTTTGCTTTTTTGCATTTCTTTTTCTGGGTGATGGTCTTGCTCCCTGTCTCCTGTACAATGTCACGAATCTCCGTCCATAGTTCATCAGGCGCTCTATCAGATCTAGTCCCTTAAATCTATTTCTCACTTCCACTGTATAATCATTAGGGATTTGATTTAGGTCATACCTGAATGGTCGAGTGGTTTTCTCCATTTTCTTCAACTTCAGTCTGAATTTTGCAATAAGGAGTTCATGATCTGAGCCACAGTCAGCTCCCGGTCTTGTTTTTGCTGACTGTATAGAGATTCTCCATCTTTGGCTGCAAAGAATATAATCAGTCTGATGATGTCCATGTGTAGAGTCTTCTCTTGTGTTGTTGGAAGAGGATGTTTGCTATGACCAGTGCGTTCTCTTGGCGAAACTCTATTAGCCTTTGCCCTGCTTTGTTCTGTACTCCAAGGCCAAATTTGCCTGTTACTCCATGGTTTAAACCTGCCCAATTAAGATTGGAGTAGCTCCCATGATTTGGGCACTCACAGTCAATCATGGTACTTGGGGCTACCTGAGTATTAACTCACTCAGTAACCTCCCTGTGTGTGGTGCGAAAACCGGCTCAGAGAGGCAGGTCTCGTACTCCAGGTCACACGGGGTCACGTAGTCAAGGTCACACGGGGTCATGTACTCAAGGTCACACAGGGTCACGTACTCCAGGTCACACGGGGTCACATACTCAAGGTCACATGGGGTCATGTACTCAAGGTCACACGGGGTCACGTACTCCAGGTCACATGGGGTCACATACTCAAGGTCACACGGGGTCACATACTCAAGGTCACACGGGGTCGCGTACTCCAGGTCACATGGCTTGGGAGGTTGGGTGGGATTCCCACCAGACTCTGAAGCCCATGCTCTCGCCCCCAGGCCGCGTCGCGCATCACGTCAGTCCTTGGCGGTGCGTCTTTCCGTGTTTGAGGCGGGCTTCTCGGTGACGGAAAGCTGTCATTTTCTGCCGTTATCCCATCATCTCCACGAGGCTGGGCGGTGTCCAAGGGCCAGGGCTACTGACCTCACCAGGCCAGGGGCTCCCGAGGGTGGAAGGTGTGCTCCTCCTCTCAGACCCGTCAGACCAGCCCCTTGCAGAGGGAATCTGCGCCTCCTTCGCCAGCCTGGAGCCCAGCTCGCCCTCCCCACGTGGCCCCGCCCTGCTCAGCCTGCCTTCCGCAGCCCCCCACCTGTCAGTTCTTCATGATGGAGGGGTGGGGGCCCCAGCTCCCCCTCCCGGCATCTGGCCCGGTGCGGTCTCTTCCCTGGTGCCGCCTCCTGGGGCTTCTCTCTTCAAGACAAGCATCACATCCATCACCTCATGAACAGGTGCCATCCGCGGCCATCCCCAGTCTCCCCAAGAGCTGGAACCAAAGGGAATCCACCCCCTCGCTCCGGGCAGCACAGCCCGCGGTCCAGCCAAGTCCTCCCTCCAAAGGCGGCCCAGAGCCCACACCTGGACCAGGCCACGGGCAGGGCAGAGGGTTGGGAGGCTTGCCTGCCCCTGGCCCCACCCCGAGGGAACCAAGAGGAGTCCTCACTGCCCCACTGACACTGCTCTGGACCCGCACTTTGGAGTTCCATTCCCAGGCTTAACTGACCAGCTGCGGGGTCTTTGCGAGTCTCCCCTCTGCTCAGCCCCCGAACCTCCATCCCCACCTTGGCCCTGCCCCCCCTACCTGGCAGTCTGGGAGTCCCTGTCTGCAGAACGGAAATGTCACCCCGTCACCCTTCCCCTCGTGGGCTGCTTCAGAGGATGGACCAAGCCGTGGTCAGAGGACCAGAGGCTCCTGCCCAGCTGGGAGGCCAGCCTCCCTGCGCCCCAGGCAGATGGTCCTCGCAAGTGAGGCAGGAGGCTGGACTGTCAGGATGGTACCCAGGGGTCGTGCCACCTTCTTGTGTCCTGGGTCTTTCTCAACGCACTAGTCAGATATTCTTGAATTCAAATCCTGCCTCTGATATCTATGAAAACATAAAATGTTTATAACCCTTGACCTGTAGTCCCGCTTCTAGAATCGATCCTCAGACATTAAAGCACCATTAACGATGGGCGTCCCTCGCAGGGTAGCTATCACAGGATTGTAAGAGCAGAAACCTTGAAACAGCGGGGAGGAGCATTCAAAGGACAGATTGAACACTGGAGATCATGCTGTCAGCCACTTGAAAACTATAAAAGTTGTAGCCTATATCCATCACATTCTGAGGTGTTCAGAATACATTTTCAAGCAAAAGGATACCATTAAGGAAAAAACACATTAAAGAAAAAGTTATGGAATAGCATAGCTGCATCCCACATTTCACCCAGTGGCTCTCTGTATGTGTGTGTACATTTGTATGTATTTATAGGTCTGCAAGCACCACTGAAGCCTAAGACAGGAAGCCGATGTGAAGGACAGAAGACAAAGCAAGACGAGGCAGTCTAATCATATTCACATACATTAGCATTTGCTTAAACTGTCTTAATGAGGATATGTTTAAAAAACAAAGCAACGGCAATTTTTAAAACTCCCATCTCTGTCATGACTTTACAGTGTGACGTGAGCATACCACCCTGATGAGCCTCGGTTTCTTCATCTGCAAGATGGAAATAATTTTATAAGCTAACAATGTCCGTCTTGTAGACTCACTGGGTGGGTTGAAGAGATCATGGCACAGAGTAGGTCCATTTCCCCTCTGTGGGAAGTGGGAGGGGAGAAGGGGAAAGTCACACCTCTGCACCCAGCGATCCGGCTCACACAGGGCAATCTTTGCGACTGATGTGGGGAAGACTCTGCCTTCATCCCCCTGCCACCCTTCCCCGGATGTTGGGAAGGCTAAGCAGCC